AAAAATAATAATAATTACAAGATTTGAAAAGATAAGAAAGAGGGCATTAAAAATCATTCTTGATTTTACATCACAACCAACAAAATAAACAAACCAAAAAATATATATATACAAATAGGTAATAATTAAGGTTTTTTTAACCAAGAGAGAAAATCATAGATATATTTACAGAATTTTCTAAATTTAAAATACGAGTCCTTACTATTTACAAACATAAAAAGATCCTTGTATTCGATGTTTTCCCGGTTTCTGTAGTTCTGGAAGATTGGGCACTCAAGAAGCAGATGACTGGAATCCTGCTTTCTCTTTCCACATAAACATCCCGGATCGTCTATAGCTCCTATTCGAAACAGAAAATCTCCGAAATTTCCATGACCAGTAACGAATTGCACATTGTAAAAATCAGGGCGGAAATATTTTGGAATGCCCAACGGGAAAAAGAGACGAAAGTGATCACTTGTATTAGAAAACATATCTTCCATTCTTGTTTTCAAAAATCCTTTTATAATTGAAGGAGAATGTGGACTGAACGTTCGTTGGTCTTCCTCGCTTAGTTGGTCCAATTCATATTTAATCAATCTTGATTCGATAAAATCAGTCAGGAATGGGATCTTTGCCAGACAGTGGACACAATTTGAGGAAGATGTTTTAAACGATCTAGTAGCCCAAAGAACAATTTGGTATTGCATCGAATTTAATTTCTGTTTACAGCGGTTATTTATTTGGTGAAACCAAATTTCAGCTCCATATGTTAGAATAGGTCTAATTAGCGTCTTATACAAAATTAACCTTTTATTAGAGTTTATACCCCATATTTTGCCGCTGAGGGAAAAAAGCAGATTTTTCATGCGATGCGCCTTATGCAAAATCTCATTGATGTGCGGGGTGAAATTTATTTTTGTTTTGAACCTATGATTAGATAATTTCATTCCCAAAATTTTGAATTCATTTGAAGGCTTTATGACGGTTTTTTGAAATTCCAGCTGGAACCTATGGAAATTGTGAAAGGGAATCAAGTTTGTTTTTTCTGGATTTATTTTTAACTTGTTTGAGCGACACCATTGAGTGACATAGTTTAGGGTGTTCACTAACTCAGTTTTTAGACCCTCTAAATTATAATGCCAACATACAATAGAGATGTCGTCCGCGTAGCAAATAATTTCAGCGTTTGTAGATTTAAAATTCATTAAAATATCGTTTAGCAAGATGTTCCATAATAACGGTGACAGTGGACTACCCTGAGGACATCCCTTAGTAAGGTTTTTGGAGACCGTTTTGCGACCGTATGACAGACAAACTGTCCTTTTATTATTCAAATAGGATTGGATGATTTGAATCAGAGAGCTGGGAACGTTGTCTAAATCCATTCTTTTTATTATAGCTGGCCACCATGCATTATCAAAAGCCCCTGATAAGTCCACTGCGATCAACGCCGTCAGTTCTCTTTGCTTGTGTTCCAGAATAGTTTCAGTCAGCTCTTTCTTAGCAGTAATTGTTGATTTATGCCTGGAGAAGCCATGTTGTCTATGACTCATCAAATTGTTTTCGTCATAAAAGGTAGTAAGTTTATTTTTAATTACGTTTTCGAAAATTTTTGAAGTGTTAGATAGCAAGGAAATTGGTCTGTAGCTTTTACTAACATCATAACTAGTTTTATCTCCTTTAGGAATGATTTTCACAAAATAGTTTTTCCAATAATCTGGGAAATATCCCAAACTTATACATTTTTCAAATATTTGATGGAGGATTATGGAAATCCTAGGGTAGGCGTATTTTATCATATTATTGCTAATATTATCTGATCCAGGTGCTTTCTTATTTTTCAATAATACAATAATCGATTCGATATCTTTTAGGCTTATGATCACTTTGTTTCTATTATTGTAGATTGGCGAGTAATATCTAGTTGCTTTGTGAAGTTCCTCCTCGGAAGAAATATCATCGTCCGGGAAAAGATCGTTCAATAAACTTTCCATTTTTGAAGTCTTAGAAAAATCCGGTGCGTTGTCTATCAATGGAATCCCTGTTGTGTTAAATGATGCTTTTAAGGTTTTGAAAGTTTTATAAGTGTTCCCAAATGGATTAGTTGATTCGTTTTCTTCGAGAAAGAATCTCCAGCTTTTAAGTTTTGCCTTGTTAATGGCTTTATTATATTTATTACGAGCAGCTTTAAAGAATTTTTCATTAATTATTTTGCCTCGCGCGCGCGCGCGATAGAATAAATTTCTTATATAATTAAAATCATTTTTCATTTTTTCAAGTTTATTCGTCCACCACTTGAATTTGACTTTGTTTTTGTTTATGGTTGATTTTAACTTAAGGGATGCGTAAGCTGCTTCACTGATAATATCTGTGAGTTTTAAAACAGCTCTATCTACACTTTCGGAATTTTTTATTTGGTTAGTTTCATCCACGAGGCTTAGCAATTCTGGGGAGGAAAATTTATCATAAAATGCATTCCAGTTTGCGTCAGTTTCGCTGAATTTCCAGGTTGATTTATAACCGTTTATATGACTGTTGTCTTTATTAACGATCTCGTAGGTTATTGTCACGTGATCGGAGGTGTCCGTCATTATGGATGTATTCCAGTTTTTTAATAGACTGATTGAATTTCTGTTGGAGATAGTGAGGTCGATCACGCTAGAATTACGACACGCTGTAGTTTTAATATTATGGACGAAAAGATTGTGTTGGTTCACTATTGAATGAAGTTTGTGACCATTTGAATTTGTCTTTCGATCATACCAGACGGGATGCCTAGAGTTAAAATCCCCACAAAGCAGAATCGGTTGAATTTTGAAGGTTTCCAAAATTTCCTCAATAAACCTTTGATGGGTTTCCGAAAAAGAATTGGGGAGAATGTAAAAATTCGCTGTAATTTTATTTGACTTTGATAAAAGTATTGAGCTTGTAGTACAAAATGAGTTGGTGAATTGATCTATCTTATTGTATTTTAATCCTTTATTTAAAATTATTGTTGCCGAGTTTATCTTGTTTCCTTTTTCTGTTAAAACTGAATGCTCGTCTCCGCCAAAAATAACAACATTGTTCACTGTGTAGGGCTCCTGAATAAATAATATGTCTGGTGGGTCGTTAGCTATCTGAGCCAGGAGCTCATTTGTTGCGTTTATGCTTTTTCTTAAATTTTGTTGCACACACTTAATTAATGGGGCTTGCATTTTATACTTTCCTGACTCGTATGAGTTAGTTATCTGATTGTTCAGTTGGGAAATAACTTGTTCTTTCGATTATTCTGTCTATTTGTGCCTTATACAAAGGACATTCTTCCGAATTTGCTCTGTGTGATAAGGGCTTGCTTCTATACTTAGGATGTTGAGAGCAATTAAAACACTTGGGAATTCCTGAGCAATCTATAAATGAGAATGTGAAAGTTTTAAAAATTTAATTTAAAAAATGATATAAAAAAGGTAAAAATTGATTTTAAAATTCTTAAAGTGTAAATTTAAATACAAAATTTATGGTGAATCAAGTTGTGAACTTGAGGATAAATTAAGGTAGGTTTTTAAAAACTTACAGTTGTGTGATGAAAGCTCAGTCAGGAGACTTGGTCTTTAGTTGTCCTGCTGACGTAGAAAGCTCCATGTAGGGCTTGTAGAAGCTTGTATCTTCTCCAAAGTTGATTGCGGCTTGTCGCTTTGAGTATTGTCTCGACAATGTCAGGTCGAAGGTGAAGAACTTCTCACTGGGTTTGCCTCATTCTGCTCCTCGATTTCCATGACTTGCGGGAATTTCGACTGTGTCGTTGGGGTGGTCAGAAAGCTTGCTCCCGGCGTTGGCGATCTGTGTTAGCGGGTCTGCGGAAGTCCCTTGGGGCGTCGTGTCTTCCGTAGATATCTCTTGTTGGGGAGAGATTGCTTGGTTGTTTCGTTAGAATGACCGGTTTGTTCCTCCATCTTCGTTCTTTCTCGCTTCTATCTGAACAGTCTTCGTACCTTCTTCGTTGTGTCATTCTTCGTTTTGGTCATCCTGTCGACTAAATGTGTGATGAGGTCTGGTAGCCTCTTGTAGAATCCTGTCGACTAAAACTATGGTGTGCGATCCTGTCGACTATAAATATGTGATGAGATTCTGTTGACTCTCGCTATACTGTGTTGACCTAGAGGAACAGTCAGGATAAGGAGTTTTCCAGTACCTCTCTGCACCTTGGAAGAACTTTTACAGTTCTCACAAAGTACAGGCAGTCGTGGTCGACGCAGAGTGGAAAGCTTGGGAATGTCCACACAAAAACGAAGACACATTTGCACTAGGAAAGTTCCGTGAACAGATAAAAGTTGAGCTAGGAGCGAAAGATGGAGATAGAAGAGTTCTTACTGGTCTACATGGTGGATGAGGAGGACCTTGGTGACAACCGACGAGGGCTCACGCTGATGGTGAAGAGACTATCTATTTGGCTAGGACGGAGGCCTTTATATCTTTCCGAGAAAAGAAGTATTGCATTACAGCAGATGCGACAGGGGCGTGGATCGTCTGGCGAAATTCTACACTGGCGCCGTGGCAGTTTCCATCTTTAGACCTTGTTGTTTTGGGACTGCTATATGATCGATTTTAGACGTTTTTGACCTTTTGCTTTAGCTCAACTCTTAATCTATTACAGAGTTTTATTTATTTATCCTCAGTCTGTACAAAGTACATTACATATGATGATGTAATGACACATGTCAATAATGCGTATAATCATTTACAGATGTGTTTCTATTATACAACATGAAAATCTTGTTATAAGTATTATACAATATAAGGTTGTTGGTTTATATTACCATATATATGTATATATATTTACCAGAACATTAGTATATGTATAATACAATATAATGCTGCTTATGATTGTAAAACGACGTTTGACAAGTTTACCGCAAATGTTTATTTTGAACGAAAAATCGTGATTTATTTTAAGGAGAAATAACGACTATTTCTATCCTTATGGATAAAGTATAAAAGGAAGAATTGTGAAGAGTAATGATGAACGGAAAAATAAAAGTTTCCAGGGTTGGGGATTGAACCCAGAGTGTTCCGCTTATCGGACAGATGCCATGTCCACTAGGCTACCCTGGACATATTTTTTCGTTTTTAAATATTATATAAAGTTAATTCATAATACAATATAATGCGGCTTATGATTGTAAAACGACGTTTGACAGGTTTTACCGCAAATGTTTCTTTTTAACGAAAAATCATAATTTATTCAAGGAGATACTTCACCCCTAAGGATAGAAATAGTCGTTATTTCTCCTTAAAATAAATTACGATTTTTCGTTCAAAAGAAACATTTGCGGTAAAATTTGTATATGTATTCAACTAAACCTATATATGTAATTAACAGAACGTATATGTGTATTTATAAGAACGTGTTTATGCAATTAGTAGAATGGTATTTCCATATATATATATATATATATGGAAAAAAGTTACAAATGTGAAAATGTACTGGGATAAGGTGAATAAATTAAGAAAAAAGCATCTCGATATATGTGATTACGATATTTTAAAATAAACATTGCAGCCTCAACTTATTTAGAGATTTGTAAAATTATAATTTATATACACATTATTGTATTTACTTCAATCTCAATGGAGGTGAATAAAGGTTTATATTCTGAACTAGATTCCTTTTTATTGACGATTTATTTCAAATACAATTATCAATATTTAGAAAGTAGAACTGTGTACATGTTCAACATACCGGGACCTGGAATCTCAGCCATGTGTGCACGCGGAGGTCTATACACCGCAGGAGAGATAAACAAACGGAGGAAGAGAATCCAATCTGCGAAGTGCTCCATAGCTCAGACGACCGTGCATAAATTGGCCGGGTCGATACCGTGATGATGATAAATTCATAGAATATTCCCTTTTTGAAATATAGTTTTCTCTCTCAAACTTCTTACATATTATTTCTATTGGGGAGCACCAACTCTAAGTTTTCATTAAAAATTATATATTTTTTAATGTAATTTTTTTTAGTTTTTATATAATTATAATATAATTTTATATTCTGTCAAACAAAAGGTCATTGGTCAAAATTAAATTACGGTACTACAAATCTCTATAGCGGTGCCTTTATTTATCTAAATAAAACCGCCTTGGTTTCGAGTGAAACAGCTCATCTATCTGTAAACACAAGACTGTCTTGAAATTCTATTTCTGTACAAGAAGCGCGTTAAAGATCTGCTTTGCTCCAATGATTATCCGCTTGTATTTGAATAAGGAAAGGTACAGCTATAGACATATATATATTTATATTGTCATAATAAGTTTATATTGCTATCTCCATGTAATGTAATTTATAACCATGAATAATATAAATATTTAAATAATTTATCATGATAAAAAATAATGTTTTCCGATTAAATAAACATTTAGTTCTTTGAAAGCACAGATCTGAGCAAGAAGACCCCTTTCTGTCTGGAAGAGAACGTTCTCAAAGTGAAGTCTCACTGGTTTGAAGTTGTAAATATATATTTAACACATATCTTGAATCGTTTTATTCTGCTTTTTAGAATTTACTAACTTTCATTTTACGGGAAATAAAGGTTTTTAATTGTCTATATAACCACACGCAGTTTATGACATCCAGTATAGTTATAACCAGAGGCTAATCAATATTTTTATATGACGACCTACCAAATACTCCCATGTACTCTTACCCTTTTAGATCGCATAATTCCTTCATGAAGAGGTTGTAAATATGAGGTAGAATTTAAAGGTAAATAATATGTCATTACCTTTAGATCTGAAACACATGAGCTGCATAATTATCCAGAGAGATTATTTGAATACTATAAAAATGCATTTTAATCCACTGATCAAATATTACCGATTTTATCCATGTGTTCCTATTACAGTAGAGCTTGGATAATTCGAACTTCTTTAATTCGAAAACGTCTTTAATTCAAATATTTATTTTGGTCCCTAGAATTTTCTATAAATAGAATTAACGTTTTTAATCGAGTTTTTTTTTTTATCCCTTGGCCTTCGAATTATCCAATTTCGACTGTATTAATATATTTAACCGGTGAAGGTGAAATGTTTTAAAACATCTGGTGTTTCTTAATTTGCCTGTTACCATTAGGGTTTTGTCTCGTTCTCGATTCATATTGAAGGATAGCATGACAGCAATTATTTATTTTTATAAATTTCACTCCTGAAAACTTTTCATTTTTTAAAGCAAAAGTTTTATTCGCGTCAATTTATAAAATATGTTTTTAAATAAAACATATAATTTTCATATTGACTAAATGTTTCCAAGATATCTTCAAATTCTGAAGCCTTTCAATTACCATTTTTATTGATATTCCAGTTTAACTTTAACCAGGAGTAGATTTATAGAAGACATCACTTTTTCTTCTTAATTTTTGTAAACTCAAACTATATATCTCACTAACTTTATAAATTCTAAAATAAAAATAGTACCATCTTTCCAACATGTCTTCACTTACTGTTTGATTTTGTTGTCTTGCCAGTTCAAGTCATATGCTTGGACATTCCTGACATGTGAAAATCTATTTCCTTTTCCTTTGCGACTAGTTACGCCATTTTTGGTAATAATCTTTAATATGGGTATTCCACACACAATCTTTGGAATTTTTGTTTTGGGATAGGTCATATTCTCTAATAAATGTTCGCTATTCAGCTAAGGTTGATTGAATTTGTTTCTGATAATTAAATGTTGAGAGACATTTTGAATTTAATTTAAACGTGAATTGATATTAACTGTGTAAGAGTGAAATAAATACTTTGTCAAAATGATGATATAGTTGCTTGGGAGAGCTCAACTGTTTATGTTACTCTGTAAGCTACTATGTAAATATAAAGTTAATAGTTTATTTATTTCAATTTAAAGCGCTATGTCTCCCTAGGGACACTTGCGCTGTCATACATGTATGCCTCTACAATAATTACAATAATTCCAGGCCGTAAACAATAGTCATATGATATTAACAAAGAGAAAGAGAGAAAAAAAATATTGCCATCAAATACAACGTGTGATCAATAATTTCAAGGAATGAGACTGAATCAAGTAAAATATTCAAAATAATGAAATATATTTATAAGGACCTTATAGATAAAACATTTATCAACACGTAGAAAAAAAAAAGATCACACAGACGAACGCGCTCACGTTTTTTTCGAATTTATAAGCTCGAGTATATCAGAAAATATTCTAACTTCAGTATGGACTATTAAAAAACAGCGATTCTGAATAGAGTTTTGATTTAATTAAGGGAAAACAGCTTCCGAATCATTTCAAATGTTGAAGCAGGCTTTTGAAGAAGATGCACTATCACAATCGAGGACATTTGAATGGTTTGCACGATTTGAAGCTGGTCGAACAAGCGTCAAGGATGATCTACATGGCAGACCTTTATCGATAAGAAACCTCGAAAATGCACTCAAAATCAAGTCATCGATCAAAGAAAACCCAAGAATAACTATCAGAGAGCTATCCGAAGACTTGGAACTCTTTTGGAACATGCCAAACCTTCATAAAGAATGATCTGCATCTTAAACAATCCCCGGCTAAATTTGTCCCACATCTCTTAACGAATGAGCAGAAAGAGCATCGCAAAGAAGCATGCAAAAACATGGTCGAAATGTTTAATTATGATCCACATTGGCTCAAAATTGTCATCACGGGAGATGAAACATGAGTGTACGGTATGATCCCGAGACTAAGAAGCAATCAAGCCAGTGGCTAGAGCCGGGAGAACCAAGATTCAAGAAAGAAAGGATGGTCAAATCGAAGCTTAAGTGTATTCTAATCACTTTCTTTGATATAAAGGGATTGGTACACTGAATCCGTGCTCGAGGGTCAGACCATTAATCAACGTTACTGTCTTGATGTATTGTGACGTTTAAGGGAGGCTGTGCGTCAGAAACGACCCGAAAAATGGTATCAGAAAAAATTACTCTTGCATCATGACAACGCACAAAAGGCCGTCACTGTAACAACTCTATTTGGCTAAACACGGAATTGCTTTACTAGCCCAGCCACCCTATTTTCCTGATCTTGCTCCCAACGACTTTTTCCTTTACCCTAAGATTAAAAAAGTTTTTAAAATACGTCGATTTGACTCAATACCTGGAATAAAGAAGAATACGAAGAATATTTTGAAAAGCCTGAAAGATGAGGATTTTCAGAGGTGTTTTGATATCTGGAAAAAATGGAACAAGTGTATAGATAGTGACGGTAATTATTTTGAGAATTTTTAAATAAAACTTTATTTTAATTTTGTATTTCTTTGAATATTTAGCATTCCTGGGAATTATTGATCACACTATGTATTTACATCAAAATTGTTCATTTATCATCATTATTAAGAAGAAAAAATTATTTAAGGGCTTAAACATTCTAAGGACAAATTAAATCTTAACGAGAAAAAGAGAACTGTTTACAAAAAAAAATGGAATTTCTGGCAATATCTACAATCAGCATAATATACATTATCAGTTTTCTAAAAGATTTTGTAATAAAAAAAATGGTTCATCAACCAAATTAAAGTTTAACACATTTATATAGAAATACCCTCAATACTGAACAATGAAATTATAATTTGAAGAGCTAAATATTCGGATCAAAATATTATAAAATCAAACGTTTTATATTAATAAAAAATAAAATATTTCGACAAGCCGTACGTCAATCTGGGTTCCTTTTATTTCGAAAATTCTTGATTGAATAACGTTATATCTACATGCGGTTGCCTATGAAGGATTTTAAAAAACAAATGCTGGTGATATTAAATATTTATACAAGGTGGGATCAATAAATAAGGTGAATTATAATTTATTAAAAGAAATAAGAACGATATTAAAAATTAGGACTTGATTCATTCAAAATAATCACCTTGACTTTCTATACATCGTCTCCATCGTTCTGGCAACTAGTAAATACCCTCTTTATAGGCACTCTTAGGAAGCGTGTGAAAAAAATATTGCACCACTTTCTGGACATCTTCATCCGAGTCAAATCGCTTTCCCTTTAACTCTTTCTTTAGTAATCCAAAAAGGAAATAGTCAGAGGGGGCTAGGTCTGGACAATATGCAGGATGTTC